TTAAGACGGCAGAACAGGTATTAATCCATTTGTAAATTAGATCCCTTCAAGAAAATTCTACTCATTCCTCCAATTTTACCTCTGTTAAACCCACAGGTACGCGAAACTTACACTCAGATAAATGTATGTGTCATATTGTTCAAATTGTGACACCTGCTGCTTGTAGCACTGATAGGTCTTATTCTGTGCCAAACTGCGTCAAGATGACCCACATAAGACAAAATTTCACCGTTTTTTGAACAAATTCGAATGAATTTTGCGCCGATTTAAGGTAATAACATTTATTGTTCTCACTTTTTTTGCACGCTATTTAATAGATAACAACAGCACCTGCCTGTTCGAGTTCTAATCAAACTGAACGAGGCATTTTCTGTGATCGTGCATTACAATAATAAATTTGAATTCAAGTCAATTTGAATAACGCTTCTGTGTTATGCCACTTCTGAAAAATTCTGAAGGAATTACTGAAACTAAAGCTTGACGAGTCAATACTATGTATTGGTAGTTGTCTTGAGAATTCCAGCACGAATAATGCCATTTAGAGCAATCAAATTCATCATCAAAAACCTCTTTGTGTTTGCAGAATTTTCAGTTTATCGTGAATTTAATATATACCCCTAATATTACACTAGTTCATACATATAAACAAGAACACCCCCATTGCAGATATCATCAGAGCTGCGCATTCATTTCCTCATTCCCTACACGCAGTTTTTAGCTTTTATCAGGACCTTGATGGCATTTCGCAACTGAACGTGCATCCACATTAGCTGACAAATTGTAATTTGATTTTTAATTTGAATGTATTTATCGATCTTCAACGATCCTGAGCTAACTAGCTATTTTAATTATAAAAAATCTGAATGATAATTTGACTGAATTTTTCAATTTGGTAGTTGCTTACTTTTTTGTGCACCATGGATCCCATCATCAAAAAAAAATTATTCTACACATCATTAGGCATCGTTGCTACTAATGGTAGAACAATCATGCCCAAATTTCAACTCATGATTAGATCTTTCAACTAATCTTGAAGGCCTCCAAAAATCACAATTTCGACGACATACTTGAATTCGACACGTCAAATCTGTGACAGTAATTCCTACCCATGCCTGAGACGGCAACCCAGAGAGCAATTATAATATTGGACCGAGGGAATTGTGTCCAAGAATTAAAAGTTTGTCATTAAAGCCAAACCCCGAATAACATAATCTATTAATTTAACATAAACCGATTTAAGGCATTGAAATTTTTTGCACTCACTTTTTTTGCACGCACTTCACTAATACTTTTTATAACAGAGCTTGTTCGAGTTCTAATCAAATTGAGCATTGCATATTCTCTGATCATGTATTTTATTAAATTTGAACTGAAGCCTATTTCTGTGTTTGAATTCTGAAGGAATTACTGAAGCTAAAGCTTGACTAGTCAATAAATTGTACACTTAGTTGTCCTGTGAATTCCAGTTCGAAGAATGCTTATTTAGAGCTATCAAATTCAATCATCAAAAACCTCTTTGTGTTTGCAGAATTTTCAGTTTATCGTGAATTTAAATTTAATGAATATCATTGGCTAGAAAAAGTAATTTTAAACATCCCTAGGGATCGTTATCACTAATGTTAGAGCAATCATGCGCAAAATTTAACTGAGGGCTGATTAGATCTTCCAATCAAACTTGAAGGTCCCAAAAAATTACAGTTTCGACGACATGTCTAGACCTTGACACGTCAAATCTGCGACAGTAATTCCTAGCAATGATTTCAGACGGCGACCCAGAGAGCAATCATAATATTGGATCGAGGGAATTGTGTCCAAGAAACTACTATGGAAATGTTAACGACAATGGAACTAGAAACGTGATGAGCGCTCGACAGGCGGTGCTCAAATTATTAATATGTGATGAAGAGGAACTAGATTGAATTCGTACAACTCATAACAAAGGTGGATTATCTAATATGCATTGAAGAAGAGGAAGCTTCTTCACTTAATCCAAAGGTAACAGAGATAGGCAGGGTGATCAATGAATACTAGATGTTCAGGACAAAAAAAGCGTTGCTAAATAAGGAAATCACTGTTAATTTATGGAAATCTAGAAATAAATCACATCGAAAATTGTATTTAATTACTCCGATGAAATAACAGCTTCTTGCACGACAAACGACTTTAAATATTTTTTATTGTAGCTGATTTCTTCTAATATTTGCGGGTTCCTAGCAGCCCTTGTGTTTTTGTTTTCGCATTTAGCCATCGATAATTTTTTCATTTCGAAAATTTCAATGTTCACATGCCAATTCTTTTTCCGAGCCTTTTTAGTTCTTCAATTTAGAAAGTAATTCTAAGTACTTCTAACAAATTTGACATTCGTTAAAAATTAAAATAGTGATTATATTTTTTGGAGAATTTTTATTTAACAGAATTTCGAATGTTGATGCTTGCATTCCTGTTGTAGGTTCGCGATATTCAAAAGAAACCTTTCAATATTAAACAAGTGTGAGCTTTGCCAATCTTAACATTCTTTTCTTTTTATATTTGTTGAATTGGATTAAAAACTGAATAATAGATTGTCAGGAAATTGAATTCCATTTCATAGTCCCATAAGATGTGGACTGCAATAGTGATGCAAATACGTTGGACCGTACCAGAATTGGAGCATTGAGTTGCAGGTTCGATCCCAGCTTTTATTGACAGAACTGGCCAAAATTGGAGAGGTGGCCGAGCGGCTAAACACAGTGGATACTGGAGGAGTGAGTTGCGTGTTCTAGACCTGCAATAAGCTGTGAAATAGTTCTGCTACGGTTAGAATCGGCGATATTTGAGCAATAATTTTGGCGATTAAAATCGTTAATACCCATATTTCAGCAAAAAAATATGGAAATTCCTAATGTTTATACCTTAATGAAGTTTTGTGGCCTGAAAATCTGTTGAATGGCAACGACCATGAGGAGTTTCTCGAGGGCTGAATATATCTTTTGTTCCCTATAGCCCTCAATGTTCAATTTTATTTCCAATCGAATTACTGAGCTTGTATGTTTTCTTAAATATTCGTCAGAAGATATCAATAGACCGTGCAATATAGGGCGGTTATTGCTGGTAACGTTGCTCAGGACTAACGTGACCCGTTCATAAGTAAAGTTATAACGCTCTTCATAATCATAAGTTATAAGTTATCATAATACGTTTGTTATTTAGTTATCATAAGTTATCATTGATCATAAGTTATAACGCTCTTCAGCGTTATAACTAAAAACCACTATGCTCCCGATTCAACTCCAACGAATCACTGGCACCATGCCCTGTATTCTTGACTGGAATTTAGCACCGTTACTGCGGCAAGCAATTCAAACAAATTTATACGTAATTATGCTCTTATGGTGTCCCTCAATTTGGGCAATACCATTGTTTTGTACCAAAATAAGGTAAAAAAAGAATGAATTTGGTTATGGAGGTTTCACAAGATTATGTTAAATGTACGTTAATCACGTTTAAATGTTTGTTATATTACGAAACGTGTTAAAAATTTTCTCTTATGGATGCGTTGGAGATATGCTATATAATAACAGAATAACTAGAATATATACGCTGTCACAACATGAGATTCTGAAGGAGAAGCTCGGGGATAAAACAGCATCCGAACTTCCTGGCGGTCCGGAAATTACGGAAGCAGAGCGATTCATCTCTGAGTTCTGCTAGTGTACAGTGAACATCTAATAAGATTTCCTGCAGAACCACTGCTCACTTCGTGGAGAAATGATGAATTATTATCCGTCCAATCCAGAGTTCGATGCAAAAAAGCTTCTCGACGAGAGAGAAATTGATAGAATTGAAAATGGTTAGAAAATGAAAAACAGAAATGAATAGAAATTGATGGAATTTGAAAATGTTTTCAAGTCGTGCTGGTTATTGAAACTTACAATATATATTGAAGTTATAGGCAAATAAAAGCCAAGGGCATGTTAAAATAGTCATACGAAGGTTGTCTGACGGAAATTGAAGATTTCGATCATTGTTTCTCAACTTCAATTAAGTCACTGATTCAAAAAATCAAATCCTATGATATTTATATCATATCTCAAGCCTGTGACATAATTTTATCACTCATTTTTGTACAAAATACCATCTCGGAATGCTCAAATCGAATTTAGTTTCGTGTTACTCATCACTTTTGGTCTAAATATAATATTCTAGCGTACATAATCGTGGATAAACATATTCAATTGTAATTTGTTGTCTAAAAATGAACAAGTTATAAATAAAAACAAATTCCAATGATATTTTAAAAAATAAACAAAATAAACCAATCACCCTAACAAAACCTAGCCATTATAGTGTATACGGAGTTTACCAAGGGCAACAGAGGTCATAGTTATTGACCTCTCTATGACACGTCGACGGGGCAGTGCGGCGCTAACAGCGTTCCATAGAGCACAATGTGTGCTGCACAGTTGTTCGTAGAATACATTTGTTTAGAATTTCAAAATTCACAACAGGGGAATAGTGTTTACTTTTGGTTTAATTATTTTGAAACATTACGTAACATCCGGTAATATCAGCTGAGATTTTACTAACTCTAAATATTTTCTGGAGTTTGCCTTTTCCCAAATATTGTAATGCATTCGGATTTAATGTACGTACAAAAATCGCGAATAAACCTACAGGAGTTGACTTCTGTTTAATACCGAAATTTCGAATTGAAGAAATAAATTGTCGATTTTCTGACTCTTTGAATTGGAGGATATATATATCTATATATCTCTTAAATATTGGATTTCGTTGTTTCTATAGGATGATTAAAAATTGAAATATACTGTATTTACAGTTATTGTGCAGGTTATTGACTTAAGTTTATAAATGATATTTTATCAAAAAAAGATACTGTTGCATTAATTTTCCACGCTATTTTCAATTTTTTAAGGATTATGCTATTGCTGATATTGTATTGGTATTTTATTTAATGCTAATTCAATGTAACATACGTTATTCAATAATTAAAGTTCGAAAGATTTAATGTCCAATTTTAAACGAAATATTCAATGAACTATTTCTTCAGGACAAAATTTACCGTCGATTAAAAAATTAAAGTTGATTAGTATAGAAAAAATGCCTTTGAAGCTCGGTGTCCGACTGAAAAATAATCAATCTGAGCTCGGATCCAAGCTTCCGTTCTCGGGCAAAGGCCACAAAGTCTCCGACTCTCCCCCGACTCCGGACCCACCAACAATTTCTGTCCCCCGGAGTCCTGAGCCACATCAGGATCAACAAATCCCTTCGCCAGAAATTCCTGGTCCAGCAGCCCCATTTGAGGGTTTCGCTAATCCAGGAACCGCATTGTGTCCTCCCAAGGGTGAGTAAATATGAATATCTATAATAAATATCTATAGATAAACAGATGCTTAATTTTAAAAAGTATCATTTATATAAAAAATAAAATTATATAAAAAATAAAAAATAATAATAAAAATGAATATCTATAATAAATATCTATAGATAAACTGATGCCTAATTAAAAAATTACCATTTATATAAAAAACGTCCATATAATTTTGCTCGTAAATTTCTGTATCATTGTTCACAAAGTGTATAAACGATAAACAAACAAAGTGTACTAACGAAAAGTTTTTTAATATTTATATGTCAGAGGTTGATGTGATTGATTTTTTGAGCTCGTTTACAGATCGGCGCTCACTTCTTCTACCACTGAGTTGAAATGGCAAGCTGTTGATTGACTATTAAGACGTTGAGATGGCGACTATTGAGATGGCGTAATTCTCTAAATTGATATTAGTGCCTAAAATGGTAGTTTTTCTGCAGAAATGTGGTGATCCGTCCTATTGTATTGGGGCTAACTTTTACATGATTTTTGGTCTTCCTTAGCTTAATGTATTATAAATCGGATTGACAGGGTTGTAGTTACCGTTAAAGTTCACAAAATGTTGGTAATGTTAATAAGGGAATATACATCGTTGATACACTTCTACTCTACTTTACAAAGAATTAGATAACTGAGGAAAAAAATGATTCTTTGGCGCTTTTAGTGTAGCTGCTATTTTATGATTAAACGTGTCATTCCTTAGCTCTAAAAATTAGTAAAACATTATTTTTGTAAATTCTGTATTATAAACTGCATTTCACTTTGATATGTTCTGTCGTACTCTGTATTGATTTCGCTGATGGTCTTTTTTCTAGATTTGGTAATTCTGAAACCTTTTTTTCCTTGATATTTTTTGCAACTCGATTCTGGAACATGCAATTGAGATTTTTTGCTACATATATCCTTAGAAAAAATTCAATTGCAAAATATACTTTACTATTTATGCGGAACTGGTGATTTAATATTGATGCTCCAAAATTCAACTGTCGCCAACGTTTAATAAGTCATTCAACGTGAAACATAATAACAATTAGAAAGGTAAAAATAATTACACTTCAAATCATTAAAAATAGTTTGAATTATAGATAGATTTTAGACGATATTTTCGACAATTTTATATGATAAGCAATGTATTTCATGCCTACTATTTCGAGTTAAATTGCTGTTATAAATAATTAAAAATAGTTGAATTATAGATAGATTTAAGACGATATTTTCGACAATTTTATACTATAAGCCATGTATCTTATTAATATTACTTCGAGTTAAATTGCTGTTTATAAATAATTAAAAATAGTTGAATTATGGCTAGATTTAAGACGATATTTTCGACAATTTTATATGATAAGCCACGCATCTCATACAAATTAATTCGAGTTAAATTAACTGCTTTAAATTTAATTACTTCGCACAGAGTCTCCGACATCATCGACTCGCTCCAGCCCTGACAGATCAGGCAACGGCACCGCACGCATTAACATGACGCCGCCCCCCCTCCCCGCTGATGAGTGCATCCCCCTCCTACCCTCGGAAGGTAACCCCTCCCTACCCCTCCCTTTTGTCAAAAGATAAATTAAATGAATTCTCTTGAGATTGTTTTGATACACATTCCATTAAACTTATCATAATTTATTTGGTGAACTATTTAAATCGGATTTTGTTCAATAAGATTTTCAATCTAATCTCGACATAACTGGTTATTAAGAATTCATTTTATTCACGAAAAGGAAGAGAAATTCAAGAATATTTATATGCTCTCAGCAATTTTAATGAAATTCGTAATGTATATATCCAATCGTATTAATTCATTAATATGAATTTCCATTTACTGCTTCGTATAATTAAAAAATAAATAATATACATTTAAAAATTACTTTTTAAAGACAACACTTCTAAATAATCCAGTGTCTCCAATGTTAAAGATGTACAATGAATTTCTCATTTTATTTTCGAATAATAAAAAAGTTAATTTTCAATTTTTTTAATATATACAATTATTTATTCTGCCAATTGATTCATGCATTGCCTCCGACTTCACAAAAGTGTGCAAAATTTCAGATTAATTGGACAGGTAAAACTGTGTCAAATAACAATTATAAGATTTGTAGCTGACAAAATTATTTTTAAATTTTTTTAACATTGGAAAAAATTTTTTATTACTAAAATTATTTATTTTGTCATTTGATTCATGCATTGTCTCCAACTTTACGCGAGTGGGCAAAATTTCAGATCGATAGGATAAGTAGAAGGGTGTTAAATTTTGATTACAAGATTTGTGGCAGACAGATAAACAAACAGACAAATGAGAAGTGAAGTTAAAAATAATATACGTTTAAAAATTACTTTTTAAAGACAACACTTCCGAAGAATCCAGTGTCTCCAATCTTACAGATGTACAATGAATTTTTCATTTATTTTTCGAACATTAAAAAAAATAATTTGTCAATTTTTTTAATATATAATTTTTTTTTCAAAATTATTTATTCTATTAATGGATTTATGCATTGCCTCTGACTTCACACAAGTGTGCAAAATTTCAGATCAATTAGACAGGTAAAAGTGTGTCAAACATCAGTTATAAGATTTGTAGCTGACAAAATTATTTTTTCAATTTTTTTAATATTGAAAAAAATTTTTTTTTTCAATTTTTAAAATCATTTATTTTGGCGTTTGATTCATGCATTGTCTCCAACTTTACACAAGTGTGCAAAATTTCAGATCGATAGGATGAGTAGAAGTGTGTTAAATTTCGATTACAAGATTTGTAGCAGACAAACAAACAAACAACAAGAAGTGAAGTTAAAGAGAAGTGTTGTAAGAAGTGTTGTAAAAATAATTATTTCTTATTTATTACTATGTTGGCACTAATTTTTATTTGGGTAAGAACATTTTATTCTGCCTGAAGTCAAATAGCTCCAAAGTGATTAAATCTACATATAATATCTGTCATAATATATGTGCTATAAGTACAATTGTTAAATGAATAATAAAAATGTCAAATGGATAAATAGGAATATCAGCTATGCTTAATTGATGCAGGTTTAATTTCAGTGAAAATTGATTATCAACAAAAATAAACGGTAACGCTAATTTTTAGTCTTTCTCATATGCTGAAATTATCAATAAAAATCCAACAATTGATAATATCAACAGAAAGACGTGGTTTTGTGTATTATATTTGTTGTATATGACTCTAAAATATAGTTTTTTATTAAAAAGCAGTGAATGTAAACTGAAGGTACGGTAAAAGATCGATATAATATTGAGTTGTTGTACAAAGGAGCGCGATCGCGACGCACGAACTTGCCCCGCTACGAGCCGACCGACTGGGACGACGCGCTGCCTTACGGCGGCAAGGTATACCTGGCGCGCAAGAAAAAACCTGACTCGTGGCCTTGCATCGCTCTACAGGTGATCTTTTTTATTTCTTCCGTCATGGTACGAATAAAATTAATATCACAACTTATCAACTTCAATCATTGATATAACATTAAATCAATACGTGATCAGTAATATAATACATAGCAAACTTGTTCGATTTTCATTTCAACTGTGATCAATAACATAATACATAGCATGCTTGTTCGATTCTTATTTCAACTGTGATCAATAATATAA